AAAGGACCTTAAAGCTCATCCAGTTCCAACCCCCTGCCACAGGCAGGGACACCTTCCACTAGAGCAGGTTGCTCTAAGCCCCTGTGTCCAACCTGGCCTTGAACACTGCCAGGGATGGGGCAGCCACAGCTTCTCTGGGCACCCTGTGCCAGTACCTCACCACCCTCACAGAGAAGGATTTCTTCCTTACATCTAATTTAAATCTACCCTCTGCCACCTTAAAGCCATTCCCCCTTGTCCTGTCACTATATGCCCTTGTAAAAAGTCCCCCTCCAGCTTTCTTGTAGGCCCCTTCAGATAGTGGAAGCTGCTCTAAGGTGTCCCCAGAGCCTTCTTTCCCCAGGCTGAACAACCCCAACTCATCTTTGCTGCCTTTCGTATCAGTATGCTTTGGGCCCACAAGTTTGACCTTGTGAATTAACAGAGACATTCAGTCCCCTGACCTAGGCAGTACCATTTTGGCTGCTCAAGTATCCCAGGTATGCTGCCTTTGCATTATTTTCAGTGCAGTCATGCAGTGTCACAAGCCGCTGAATGAAGCTACCTCTACCCACAAGCTCCAATTTCCCTATTCCATAGGTGCTAGCTGCCTCTCATTTCTCCTTCAGCTGCTCTTTTCCTCTCTTTTACACGTACACACCCTTCTAAAAGATGGCAGGGAGCGAGTTCCAAGCATGGCAGACACATCAGCTTAATTTATATAGGGCAGAGAATATCCTCGTTCTGTACCTCCTCTGCATCTCCATTGCATTCAGTGCACAGGCAGCCCGAGAAAGGGACCTAGTCTTTACCTCTCCTTAAAGGAGATCAATGATCCTGCTGGCACACAAACGGTGCAGCTCAGAACAGACCAGCTTGGTGAGATCACTGGTTAGCCCTGCCAATAGCTAACTCGTCCAGAAAAAGGTGCGTGTCACCCTGCAGACAGCTGCAGAGCAACCTTCATCTTTTTTATTTCCCCTGCCCCCACCAGTTAGTGGTTGGCACTGTTAATCCTGTTAATGTAACTATGGATAGACAGGTAAACCTTTAATCTGTCTCAAACCTACTAACCTTTCAGCCTGCATTAGCTGGAGTTCAACAGCCTGTCTTCCTTTACACTCCTCATTTTGGATTGATGGGTCTCCAACTGAGAAACTTCCTTGTGCTGTAACTTTCCTTTTGTGAGTTATTCAGGGCACTGCTTCTGTGCACCCTTTCTACAATAACCAGTCCTTCACCCAAGGCGTTCCGGAGCCTGTCAGTCTTGTAGGTGCTGATGCTGTGTTGATCATCAGCAAGACTGAAATGGGAGTCAGTCATGAAAAAGAAACCAGAGGCTGAGATTCCCAAAGGCTTTTAGGACACCATTTCCCCGCTCCCCCTTCCTCTCCCAGCTTTTTCAGTGTTTTAAACCTTGTTTGCCTGAGCATGTTTTACAGCCTGTCTCTGTTCATTGGCAGCCAGGTTTGTTACTGCTATGTCATTTCAGAGGCAAGAAGTTGGTTCGTGTCCTGAGCAAACATGTTTTCTTGGTTTACATTTGCAGTCCTCCCCTCTCCTTGTACGCATGTAACGCTGGTGTTAGCTGCTGTTGTTTTCTATGCTGTTGTTCTCTGTGCTGATAGAGCAGAGGCTGTACCAGCTTACATTAGCTTGTACCCACCCGAACAAATTTTCCTGTTTGCTTTCCGCTCACATAACGAAGGAGAAATAAGCCATTAACGGGCTTGATGAATCTTATTCACAGTAAGCTAGCTCAACACCGAGCATCTGGGAACCATTTTGCCTCCTCTAAACCATCTTCCTGGGAAGGTTCTACCACACTAATATCACTCCAGAGCTTCTATTTGCATTTATATTAAACCTGCTGCTGCTGCTGCCTCCCATTCTGACTCCCTGCTGCGTGTGGGTGAGGATTGCACTGTAAGATGGCACCCTCCTCCTTCTTCCCTAGCTCAGCTACCTCTGTTTTCTGCTGCCGGGTGCTCAGCTGGTGTCGCAGAGCTGGGAAGAGCGCCAGCAGCCCGGTGAGCTCAAGCAGCATGCGGCCCTCGCTCCGCAGCAGTGGGATGTCTCCCTGCGCTGCCGCT